TCTCCACCAGGTTGTAGAAGACTGGCTGCAACTCATTTGCCTAAGGTCGCCTGGCGACCAAAGTGGCCATCCATGCCGCAACCCGGGCACAATGTTCACGCGGCGTAACAAGAGACGACGAGGGCGTCGGCGTCGGGGAAGACAGCCGTCGCTTTTTGTTGCCCCAGCGCTGTAACATGGCAGAGAAGGAGTCCTGCAAACTCGCAATCTGAGCCAACAGCGTGCCTAAACGGCAACGAGCCCGCAGGCAACCACCCCATAATGCAAAGCAAATTGCCGTGACACTGCAGATTGGCTGCCCAACACCACATGATTTTGCAGAAGTGGAATGAGGAGCTCCAGCGATATAACAACATGTCGTAACTGACAGGCCGCAACTCATTCAGAGATCGCCTGCGCTCATGATATCCATGAAATGTGCGTTGCCCACTGCGCGGACCGGCACCAGCTAGAAAGTGCAACACGACACCTCCCAATGGCTCACTCCCCACGTGCGACATTTTCCTTGACTCTGAACAAACACCTTCGGTCGTTGCACAAATAAATACGACATGTCATCATGAGAAATCATAAACACCCCGCCTACAGACACTCTTGGCCTGGCAAGGGGATCTGTACTTATGATTCTCTCCTGTTCAAACACACAACGTTCACTGCACTCATGACTGAAGAATGTTCAAGAGCTCTGCCATCAAGGTCGTTGGCTCAACTATGCTACGTAGCACTGTACACTATACGCCTAACGAAAGTTCCGTCCAACGGCTCGGGCAGCCGATGACGCAACAGCAGGCTTGACTTACGCAAGCGAACGCACTCAAGTGGGTGTCATGCGACTTCAATCGCCCCATCAAGCAGTTGGCGTTAGTTTAACAACCCCACATGGCTAAAGATTATGATGCCTAGTTGCATCGAGCGGCAAAGTTGCCTGCTCCTGCGGACTGTTCAGTTGCTCCACAACTGCGAAGTCGAAGTTGGTAAGTTCTTCGGTATTAGCAGCAAAGTGCTGCGTTGCATGGCATCGTCACCTGTTCAAGCAAGCTATGTACAACCGAAGTTCGCCACAGCAGCCTATGTACAATGCCAAGCGGTGAATCCAATGCCAAAGCAGTGGACTCACTTCCCAGCGCACCATGAGCATTATTCAAGCTTCACGTGGTATTCAAGCTGAGCCGTAGCAACACTTGCACTTCTTGAAGCCTCGCCTGATTGCCTCTCTCGCCGTAATCTGCTCAAGTGCTTTTGCATTTCCAAGCGTTCCACATCCACGCCTGGCATGATATGACTTTCCTCGCGACTTTGTCACCCACACAAGCTGGTCCCGCAAGTCTTGCCTGGTCTCCTCACGCGGTGGCGGGAATGACATTGGTTTCGGCATAGGGCGCACTGTGTCGCGCACGTCGCGAACATCATGATCATCAGCAGCTGCACTGCTGCTCGCTGCATTGCTGCTTGCTGCATTGCTGCTCGCTGCGTTGCTGCTTGCTGCATTGCTGGGATCACCACTGGGGCTGGCCTCGACTGAAGCCTTTGATCCCTCAACTGTCATGTTGATGCTCAAACTCGTGAGTCCTGCCTTGCTCGCCTCTGCCTCAGCACGAAAGTCTACTGGACTCGGATCCCTGGCACAAGGATCTGCACAGCATTGCAACGATAATGCATTGGCACACGACAAGGAATGCAATGGGATGCTCGGCAAGAAACTCACCTATCAAGAAAATCGCACACAGCAACCTTTCAAGAAAATCCCAAAATGCAAAATCATACCCGTAACCACTCTCGCCAGCTGCCGGGCCCAAGGCGTTTGACGGTGTATTGGGCTCATCTGCGTCGGCACTGGCAATTGCATCTACCTGCAGCGCAATGGCA